CGCAGTTTTAGGATGTCCTATTTGTATGGAAAGTAGCAAGGCATTCCACCTTAGGTATGGTGGAAAGGCATGTTATATTGATTGTCATAGACGACAATTACTTCCATGAAATCACTTGTATCGCAGAGATGTAAAATCATTCACAAAAGGGAGAAAAGAAACTAGTTGTCCACCTATTAGATTGTCGGGGAGGCAGATATATGGTCGCCTAGAAGTGATACCTACAACAATTGATGATCCCTTGAATTACTTGAGGGTTATGGAACCAACCATAAGTGGACAAAAAAGAGTGTTTTTTGGGAGTTTCCATGCTGGAAAAATTTATTAGTTAGACACAACATGGATGTTATGCATATCGAAAAGAATGTATTTGACAATTTATTTTATACAGTAATGAATGACAAGGAAAGGACGAAAGATAACTTGAAGGCGCGAAAAGATGTTGGAATATAGTCCAAGTATAGGCGTGACATCAGATTTGTTGATAAAATTTATAAGGCCATCTACACTATCATGAAAAGTCATGATTGTCATGTATTTATGCAAAGACTTGTTACAATTGTGTTTCGGGAGATGCTACCCTCCACAATGTGGCAATTGATTGCTGAGTTAAGTCAATTTTTTCAAACTCTTTGCACGTGTGTAGTAGACGTTGAACTGCTTCAACAATTGGAGAATACACATATATCTTATTGAATTGTGCTGAAATCCAACCATATTATGAGTATGTATTCTTTTCTGCTTACATATATTAGTTGACTTTTAATGACTTGTGATGGTTTATATTAATTGAAACATATGACTTTGTATTGCGGAATATTTGCAAATTTCATTCAATCACAAGGTCACATAGATTTGGATCGTATTATCGCTGAAGATTTTTCTGAATGGTTCAGCGGTTATGTAAGTATATTACACGCACACTGACAATCAAAGGTGTCATTTTTTTCCATTACATAGTGTTGCACATGTGTAGGTAACGAATCCTTACAATGGAGTGTGTGACCCTTTTATAAGAGCACTGACATGTGGGTTAAATTCTCGAGCAAAAGCATGGCCTGCATACATAGTAGGTGGCTATACAGATCATCTAGTGTACTGCAGAAACCGATAACTAGATGTTCAAGACATATCCAGGTTATCTTTTTATTATATTAATAAGTATTACTTCTTTACGACTAACAACAATTAATTGATGATATATTAAAGTTGTAAGCGTATATTATATTTTGTAGCCGAAAGTCTTTGAAAGAGATTAGAGGAATATTAGAAGGGTCTTATAGGGGATCTTGGATATCGTACGGAGAAGTACCAAAAGAATTTCGTGATGGATGGCTTGAGACGTTTAAGATAATATGTGTGTATAGTTTTTCTGTTTTAATTTCCTGCATATAGTTCAACTATGGCTATTTTTTGTAGTCGCACCATACTCTTCTTCCTGCTGAAGAAGTTGTTATTATGAGTGCTTTTCACACATGGTGTTTGACATGGTTGAAGGATGTTTTGCATGAAGCTCGATTAAATAAAAAACAGATACCATGGATACCTGTACAACATTGGAATGGCATGTTAGTGAAATGGCAGTCTGAGAAATTTAAGGGCAAGTCAGAACAAAATAAAAAACAGTTGTACAAATGGGTGTAAGAGCTCACCATATTGTGGAGGGTCAATATATCAAAGAGTTTGAGCCCAGCGACTGGTATGATTTTACTTCTTAGTTCAATATTTAGATTAATTTACCCAGTGTGAAATTGGTTAGTTTTGATATATATTTGTAATTGGGAAATTAAACTGGGAAGGCTGCCACTGGCCACTGAAATTCTTAAAGATGGATTCACGGAAAAAGAAATGGGTGAATGGAGTGGTCCGTGAGCTCGCGAGATTGCGGTATGATTGAATTAATGCACTTTTCTGTTTTAAAAAACGTGATATCTTACTACATTGAAATGTGTAAATGGTTTCTTTGTAAACATATTTATTAGTTGCATTGGTTGCATTTTATAGGTACTAAAATATCAAATCAATTTTAAATTTTATGTTACATTACTAGTCACATAGTTTATTATTTTCATTTAGAAGTTATTCTTATATTTTAGACTTGATTTTATGGTATTCTTTACTAGGAAAAAGTTTAGGCTGAGGTGAATCTTGAAACGCAAAACACCCTAGAAGATGGTGGCCTGGTACTGTGGATGAGAATGCGATAATTTTTAAAACTGTACCTATAAAAAAAGGAAAAGTGTTTGGGGCGAGTTTCCTTGCCGACACATATCTATCCAAAGGTTCAGTTAATTCTACTATCCATTCTCAAGGAGAGGCACAATATGTAAAAGTGGAAGACTTCAATGCATGAAAGATGCGGCTGGAAAGAGTGGAGATGCAGGAGATGGACCCTACTACTTGCGATTTTATGCACCCTCCTCATGCATCCTCGTTTTCTCCAACTGGGTTTGCTAACAATTTCAACTGTCAAACTGCGGCTCATTGTTCAATATTTTACCCGAGTCTTTATATGTCGATGCAACAACCCCAACCTATGCAATAACTCATACCTTCTCAAACTGCATTTCAATTCGCCCCCTTAGCCACTCACAACTAGTCTTAAGAGGACACCAACAACTTTATCAACAATACATTAGCTGATAATGAAGGGGCAATGCAGGCGGACATTGAAGAATTGTATTTCAGTTTTTATATTTTGTTGTGAACAAACTGGTTGAAGTATTTTGCTGATGTTGTAATGAACTAATTACTCTAGTTTGTTTATTAAATTCTGGTTTTTATGCATTTGCAATTATTTTTCTGCCACTTTTTTATTTTCCAGCAGGCCGGCTTGCCTTATTTTTCTGCCACTTTTTTATTTCTTTTTAGCTATCAACTAAGCTTCTATATTTAGCCATTTCCACTCTGTTTTCCGTTTTTAATCTCTTCCATTTGTACCCAACTTAAAAACTTGGGAGTCCAAATGTCCTTTTTTAATATTTTGGATGTGAAATAATTTCAACGACCTTATATGTTATTTGTAACATTTTCTCCGTAATGACATTGATTTTAATTTATTTTACTCTCACATACCACATTTGAACCATGCACATGAGTGATTGCACTAAAAATGCTCTAAGAATGGTGATAAATTACATACAGAAATTGTGTGAATATGAATGGGGATTTTATATACATTAGAGCAATTTTTATTTTATTTTTTTCTAATATGATCTGATTTAAATTAGTTTAATTTGTTCATATTCGTTTTGGTAAGATATCATATTTAAATGTATTTTGTATGACCAAGTCTAGTCTAGTCTACTGTGTTTTAAATTATTCACGTGTGATCTAAATATAATTATAGTCACTAAAAGTTTGATCTTAAAGGATCACATCTACAACAATTTGGACAATTAAGGGGTGTCATTTACAATCTCATAAATGCAGGTCTGACATTTTAATTTCGTGGATAACTGAGGGACTATATATGCGATTTTCCCTTTAAAAAATGTTTTCTTTCCCAAACAGCTAAAAACCCCAAGTTTTTATAAATAAGTTTTATTTCATTAATAATAAAAAACAAGTTAAATACTCCGTTCAATTTAAACATAATTTAAAAAATCTTTTCTTTCCCAAACAGCTAAAAAGAGTATAGGGTCAGATTGGTCCTTGAAATTGCATAAAAAGGGTCAAATAAGTCCTTACTGTCCGACCGTCACCATTTGGGGCGGTTCCCGGTGGATTTTTTTGATGAAATTTTTTGAGCATCTTATTCATTAAGTCTAGTTTACTCATACCGAATTTCAGCTAAAACTTCAATCGTGAAGGCACTCAAATGAATTCTTGAAGATAACTGCACAATTATCTTCAACAATTCATTTGAGTGCCTTCCCGATTAAAATTTTAGCTGAAATTTGGTATGAGTAAACTAGACTTAATGAATAAGATGCTCAAAAAACTTCATCAAAAAATTCCACCTGGAACCGTCCCAAATGGCGACGGCCGGACAAAGCTTCCTATGTAAGGACTTACTCCTTTATGCAACTTCGAGGTCCAATCTGACTCTTTACTCCAGCTAAAAATTAAAGTATAGCGAGTTGAGTAGAAATAAATCAATATATATATATATATATATATATATATATATATATATATATATATATATATATATATATATATATATATATATATATATATATATATATATAAGAGGAACTTTTTAAGAGCATACAAAGCGCCACATAATCTTGCCATGTCATCCATCATATATTTTTATTTATTCTATTAGATTCTACTTTTTAATGCATATTGATATGGAAACAAAAGATTGTATGATAAAAATCAACTTTATTTGGTAACTTTTTCAAAAACCTTTTACGTAATTGATAATTAATTAATTGTTGGAACACAACAATTAATAACCAACCTACACTTAGACTACAATTTATACGGAGTACTTTTTATAAGCATGGAGTAAAAATTATTTATATTATTTTTATTCTTTTTATCTTTTGTTACATTCTATTGACGAATAAAATATCTTTGTTTTGCTATTTATTTTGTCTTCAAAATTATTTTATATAAAAAATTTAATAATAGTGTCCCATTTCCTAAAATATACTCCGTAATATTTTATTCTTCTAAACTCAATGTTGAAATCATGATTAAAATTCTAAGCCACAGATTTGCAATTGTGTTAATACTTCATATTTTTCTGTCATATTTATATAATTTTTTCTTTATTATTTTACAAATGGAATATATTTTAATTTTGTTCATGATTCAGGAGATTCCGTCTATTCAGCCCATTAAATTAGCTTTAATCAGTTTCAATAAAATAAGCCTATTTGAGTTATTTTAGTATAACGAGATCTATATTTAGACTGAATTTATTTTTCTTTTGCATCACATTATATTTGATTCGAAAAAAAAATCATATTCAAAATTAACTAAATTATGTACTGAGCTTGCATCGCACAGGCTTTAAATCTAGTCAATAATATACCGCTTCGTATAAAACAAAGAGAAAGGAACCCTAACCCGTTAAATAATAAAAGCACTCGTCTAAAATCCTGCACGACCGTGAACCTCCGTAGAAACGGTGGCTCATACGCCGGTGCAGAAGGCGAACTTTGAGAACTCTTATTTTGTTCATTAACATAGTCTGCTGATTCCTCAGGTGTGTTCTTAGCTTTGCTCATGGTCCCGCTGAAGTCATGGGTTTTGATCTTTGAATTTGTAAATTTTTCTACGAGCTATTCCTCCTGGAAAAAGAGTTATTGTTGTTAGACTTGTCCCTTGGTTTCAAAACTCTGTTGGGATGATTTTTTTTAGTTCCAGTTAGGTTATAGAATTCTGGATCAGTTAGGAGATCAGTATTGAACCAACGACCAACGGTGAATTAATTTGTTTTTTCTTCTTGAGTACTTGAGAGATATCACATTGTTATTTCCTGTGGCGTTATTACTTGTCTGCATTGCATAGCATATTAACCAGATGTGCAGTTCCAACGGTTTTTATAGCTAATTGCGCTTTCATTACTTTGTAGGGCTTCTGAATTGGCTCCTGTCTCTTTTGCTTATTACTTTGAAGTGGAAACGCTTAACGAACTTCATTTCCTGTTGAATGACATTTGATGTTTTGAGGCCCTGGTAACTCGAATTGAATTATTTCTTATTAACATTCGACATATATTTCTTTTAGCCCATTCGTATTTCGTTTCACTTCAGCTATATAACCTATATTATCAACATGGACAACTTTGCTACTGTAGTCTGCTCAACTAAGCTGTGCTGTAAATCCAGTGTCTTGTGACAAAATGAGTTCACGAAAGAAGACACCTTTTCAGAAACACCGGGAAGAAGAAGAAGCTAAGAAAAAGGTACAAGTGTGAACTTTTTTATGCCTCTACTTTATACAGATGTTTATACTTCTTAATATTTAGCAACTGTTGCTGGTTTTCTTTTGCAGAGAGCTGAGGATGAAACAGCTCGTTTGTATCAAGAGTTTGTGGAGTCATTTCAAGGCGATGATGTGCCAGGTTCAAAGGCATTTGTTAGAGGAGGTGTCATCAATCCCAATGAGAAGTTGAAGAATGACTCTGAAGGTTTGCAGCAATTCCTTTTGTTAGTTTTTCTTTTTCAGTAATCTTTAAATACCCACTCAACACAGCATTCTCTTATTTATGAATATTGGATAAATGAATGATGTTTTTCTTACATGGACACATTAATAAAAGTACGAGCTTTTTCTATTCATTCACGGATGGCAGGTGGAATTTCCAACGATGAGGGTTCTGGTTTAAAGAAGGGGAGTAGGTAAACATATACCTTTTGTTTGACCATGTTATGATGCCACTCTAATGTTGGATAACGGATGCCAAGATCTTATCCTTATTGTGCTTACTGGGCATGTTTCTAATGTCCAATATGTGCTGTTACTTGGTTTATCTATGGTTGAAGTGATATCAATATCACATTCTTACTCACCCCTGCTAACTTATGTGATTTATATCTAGTTATTCTTTCCAATTTCCAACCCATCTTATGCATCCTTTTTGCAAGCCAAAGAATAAAGTTATTGGTGGCACAGACTTTGGAACATATTTCATGTTTGTGCAGGTATGTTCCATCTTTTATACCACCTCCTATGGCAACTAAAGGTAGAGATTATGAGAAGAAGGTTAGTGGCACCAAAAAATCCTCATCGGGTCCCTGACTATATTTACTATGAGTCACATATTACTTGCCTTTGTTTATTTTTTATATCTAATATACTCAGAAGGAAGAAAAGCCTAAGGAAAAAGAAAGAGGAAAAGCAAGGAACATCGATAATTTTATGGAGGAGTTGAAACATGAACAAGAAATGAGGGAAAGGAGAAATCAAGAGCGTGAACAGTGGCGTGATCGTCATACTGATAATTCCACTGTATGTTGCACCTCTATCCTAACGACTGAAATAAGTAAACACTCATTTTCAGAATAAATATCTATATGTAATATTAAAATCATTTTTTAAAGAAATAAGTTGAAAGAATTAGACTTCAGAATAATGTAGTGTTTTCTGTTGATGTTATCCTTTTAATTGACTCTGAGATGTGCAAAATGTACTCGTACTCTTTCCGTTCCTAACTGATCATTTGACGAAGGACTTAACTGTTCATAATGTCATTATGGAGTTTCTATGGAATTTATTGTTCTTTTCATCCTTTTTCATATGCATTGTGTGCATACTGTATACAATGCTCTTACATTTTATAGAACTGAGTAACTGACATGACCTTGATGAGCTAGCCCCCACCAAAAAAAGTATTTTAACTTCCTCGCATCTATCTGCCAATGTAGTATCTACATTTGGTTTGTGGGTTGGATAATTGGTATCATATTTATCTAATCTCAATCTGCAGCCATCCACTCGGTTTGATGAGCTTCCAGATGATTTTGATCCCAGTGGAAGGCCCGGATCATTTGATGATGGGGACCCGCAGACCACAAATCTTTATGTTGGAAATTTATCACCTCAGGTGTGTTTCTGTAAGAAGTGTTTTCTTTATTTCTTTTGCTTTCACATAAAAAGAGTTCATATGATTCGTTACTGTTATAGGTTGATGAAAATTTCCTTTTGCGCACTTTTGGAAGATTTGGACCCATTGCAAGTGTCAAAATAATGTGGCCTAGGACAGATGAGGAAAAAAGGCGGCAAAGGAATTGTGGTTTTGTTGCTTTCATGAATAGGGCTGATGCTCAAGCTGCAAAAGATGAAATGCAAGGTAAGATTTGAATATCTATACTTGAAGTGTGTAGTGTTTGGGGAGTCCTCGTTTTACTGATTTGGAAGCCTTTATCAATATCCATAAGATGGAGATGGTTACATCTAAAGGATGAGAAATACTCAAAAGAATGAAGTGGATGATCATTCAGCAGATGTATACAAGACTATTAGGCCACGTGTAGCACTGGATAAACCGATAAATGGGTGGATAGGCGTGTTTTATCTGCTTCCTGTGGTTGGCGTGTTTCATCCAACATATTATTTTATTCTGATAATTGGAATATCCCACTTAGAAACATTTTAAGAATCCATCTGGCTGGGCTTCTACAAACAGTCTTCATCTATCTCCACTGCCAACACTAAACATTTTTATTGATTTATTCTAGACCAATCCAATGCAGTGCAACTAGTCCTGTCCAACCAGCTGTACCAAACGCTGGCTAGAATACTAGAGAAGCAGACAAGCAGTTCATTCCTCATATACTTATAACAAGTTACATAAGCGATTTCTTTGTGTTGAAAGGTTCTATAATCTATTGTCACAATAAAAGGCAGTCCCTAAGCTGTTAGTTGGAAAAGCAGGTTCATTTGTCCCTAAATCTTCAAGGAATTTGGACGCTATAAGTTTATAATCAACTTCGTTCCTGTCACAAAGTGACAAAACCTATTAAATACTTATTATGGGAACGGAAGTTTTGAACCATAGATCAACTTGGAAGCAAATCCATTTTGCCGTGTCATTGAACAATTTCATTTAGTTCCACTATCTATACATCTCTGTTCAAGTGCATACTTTGTCAGTATATCTACCTCTTACTATGCTTTATTTGTATGCAGATTGTAACTACGAAGTAAAGTATTCTATTTTTTCTGATAAAAACAAATACTTACCTAGTTACTTTTATGCAGGAGTGATTGTTTATGAGTATGAACTGAAGATCGGGTGGGGTAAATCTGTCTCTCTCCCATCACAAGCTTTGCCTGCTCCACCACCAGGACATATGGCCATCAGAAGTAAGGAGGTTAGTTTCATTTTTCTTTGAGCTATAATCACTATTTTTATTTCTGTTATTACCGAATAAAATTCGAGCACACTTTCTTGATATTCCATCAGCTTTCAATGATGTGTTCCGTATTACATGAAACAACTTTTTTTTTTCTCAGGGATCCACAGTGATCTTGTCTGGTCCTGCAGGTCCTCCAGTCACATCTGTGCCAAGTCAGAATTCTGAGCTAGTAGGTTGCTTTATATTTCTGTTTATTAACATTCTACTTGGTGATTATGCAATTTTGTTGTTTTAGAACATATTGGGGATACTAATCTGAAAATATTTTCAACATTAAAGTTGATTGTGGTATGACAATAATTTAGATTTCATTTGAGTTTTATTTGAATAACTAAATATATCCAGTTTTGGGCCCGCTAATTTATCTATAACCGTCTTGGCCAAGATAATGTTTCCTTTCTTTCTTCATATATTTCACTGAGTTATTATGCGTAGTGTTTTATGTTCTAATTTGCATCTTCCTACTTTCTGAATCCACATGACTTATCTTATGCCTTTCTCCTGATTGGATTACATAACTCAAATGAATAAAGGGTCTTTGCTGCCTAATAGAAATACTCTGCATACTTTTTATGCTTCATCTTTTCCATTGGTATCCAGGTTTTAACTCCAAATGTACCTGATATCACTGTTGTTCTACCCGACGATGATCATGTACGCCATGTCATTGATACAATGGCTCTCTATGTTCTTGATGGAGGTTGTGCCTTTGAACAAGCCATAATGGAGCGAGGTCGTGGAAGTCCTCTCTTCACTTTCTTGTTTGAACTTGGATCAAAAGAACATACTTACTATGTCTGGAGGCTTTATTCTTTTGCTCAGGTATATGGTATATATATATATATGTAGATTAAGAATCATATGAGAACACCATCTTAAGAGAGAAATGAGAATGAATTTGGAGCGTCGGATTTCGGTGTCGTGCAACATGTAAAACATAAAAGTGCATATGAAAATTTGGAAAATGTCCATTTCAACTGTGCAAAAGTTTAAACGTAAATGTGCACATTGGAATTTTGCATTACTTTAATTATAAATGTGCATTTTTGTGAATGGTAAAGTGCATCGTTTTTTAGCGTTCTCATTTCTCACGTTAAGGAGTGTTCTCACCGGAACCGCACCCTATATATAATTTATATATATATACACACAAATATTCTGGTCAGGAATTTCCTGACCGGAGCCCCGTCCGGCCTCCTCCATTTGGGGGCCTTCCCGGTGGTATTTTTTGCTCAATTTTTTTTTTGTGTATGTTCATCATCAAGTCTAGTTCATCCATACCAAATTTCAGCAAAAAATTCAATCGGGAAGGTCGTCAAATGATTTTTGCAAGTTAACTGGTCCGGAATATGTATTTCCGGACCAGTTAACTTGCAAAAATCATTTGACGACCTTCCCGATTGAATTTTTTGCTCAAATTTGGTATGGATGAACTAGACTTGATGATGAACATACACAAAAAAAAATTGAGCAAAAAATACCATCGGGAAGGCCCCCAAATGGAGGAGGCCGGACGGGGCTCCTGTCCGGAATTTCCGGACAGGAATAGCTCTCTCTCTCTCTCTCTATATATATATATATATATATATATATATATATATATATAGGTTAAGGATCACATACAAAATCATCCTAATTTACAAAGTGCAAACTAATCTTGACCATTGATATGGATGAGATCAATGGTGTGGATGAGAAAACTCCCCATAAATAGGGTTGCCGCATGTAGTGGATAGAATTTAAAAAACTCCTCCATGATTTGTAGGAATCTAAACAAATCTTAGCCTTGATTTTGTAAAATTAGACGGGTGAGATGACTTTGCATTTTGTATGGGAAACACACTTTGTATCTGATCTTAACCCTATATATATGTATATATATATCCATAATGGAGCGTGGTCATGGAAGTCCTCTCTTCGAAAGGACTGAGAACTGTCCATTGACCTATGCAGAGCAGCTAACTAAACAACTAAAGAAATTTGATTTTTATGTGTAGGGAGATACTCTTCAAAGATGGCGAACTGAACCTTTCATTATGATAACTGGTAGTGGCAGGTATTTTTAATTATTTTTTTGCAAACTTTTTCTATGTTAATTTTATTCGTGATCATGATGTTGCACATTTACACTCCTGAGTATGATATCCTGTCTCTGACAGGAGGGTAAGAGAAGCCTCATTGTAACAAGACATCTTCTAATTTTTACTTGATCCCTTGTTACATTATTTACTTCTTAACCAATTATCTGTACAGATGGATACCGCCTTCTCTGCCATCAGCGAAAGGGGTTGACCAAGAGAAGGAAGGAGGAAGCACCTATGCTGCTGGACGGAGCCGGGTATCTTTCTTTTCTTTGTGGCAGATTGCCTCGACTAAAAAATTAAAATAGCTCATCTTAAAATCTGTCATTAAAATTCTAACAGCGTGTGGAGGTGGAACGGACACTGACAGATGCACAGAGAGATGAATTTGAGGATATGCTTCGTGCATTAACACTGGAAAGAAGGCAGATAAAAGATGCAATGGGTTTTGCATTAGATAATGCTGATGCTGCTGGAGAGGTATAGTTGTTCTAATATAGTATCACATTCGAAAAGTGATAGAGACTTGGACTTTAGGGCTTAATATTTTAATAAAATGTAATAGTGGGCTGGGCCAAATAATTAGATAGATTGAGGTAAGCCTCATGTGGAAAATAAATAAATAGAGGGAATAGAAGAGGGAGAGGGTAGGCAGAACTTGGATTGGACTTGGACTTGGGAGAGACGAGGCACTCTCGAATTTGCTCTCATCTGTATCGTTACTTTCTATTTCTTCAATTTCAGTTTCGTAATCAACAATTCATCGCCAGATTTTTGCTTGTACCTATCATTGGTATCAGAGCAATCGCTCCTGGACTTAGAATCGATCATCACAGAGCAATCGCAGATGGAGAATAGCATAACGAGGATGGAAACGATGCTGGATGAGATGATAAATCATCTGCGTAAACAGCGTCGCCGGAGAACTAGGGGTCGAGCAAGGAGCCCTCCTAGACACTGTCGGCCAACTTATTATCAGGTATCGTCATTGTCGCAATCAGTTTCACAAACGCAGATTTCCCTTAGTTCGCAAGCTCCGCAACCTGCTTCGTCGCCATCGCGTACATATTCTCCCAGTACGAAAAACTTGTCGCAAGCTGAAGCTCCTATTTTGCAATCGCGAAAAGCTTCGCCCAGTTCGCAGTCGCGAACCACGTCATATCCCAGTTCGCGGAGAACTGTTTCTCCTGGCCGACTTTCATCGCCACTGCAATCAGTTTCACATCGAGCCAATTCTCGCAGTCCACTAAAGTTGTCGCCAACAGTTTACCTCAGTTCGCAATCGCCCTCCCGAGCAGATGAACCTGTTTCATCTGCCGCGTCGGGTTCAGCTTCTCACAGGGCCCAGATTTCGACGCTATCATATACTTCAAGTTCGCAGGGTTCACAAGCAGCTTCACACAGGGCGCAAGCCTCATCATTGCTACAGGAGTCATCCACTTCCAGAGTCTCGGACCACGTTGAATCAGAAAATGGATCACTGGTAACTCAGCCTTCTACACTGACCACTGAGTTAATACCGGTTGCACCATCAGTTCTGGAACCTGATAAGGACGATTATCTTATTCAACCTTTGGGTAAGGAATTGTCTAACAGTGCTGATGATGCTCTTGCTGAAGTTCTGCAGGACCCTCCACGAGCTATTGGCTCTCTGAAAGGGAGAGGAGAGTACATAGATGAAGACAAGAGGGGATGGAAGGAGAAACAAACTGGGGTAGAGAGACTCAACTGGATGACTAACACTGGTGAGGAGTTTTATGCCACTCCAAGTGCTTATTTTACTTTATATGATCTCTTTGTCCAATCATCATTCCTGGGAGGTGTCCTGGAAAAAGTTGGGATTGTGCCACAACTTGCTGGTTCTCCGAGGACAAAATGGGAAGTGTTTAGGTTGTATATGCCTAATGTTTCATGGACACGGTCAGCAGGAGAGAAAGCCGCAGCTCATTCTGAACTATCAAATGCGTTTACTGGACTTCTAAAGCTGTGGAGTTCTAACCATCCCCCTATTGAGTATGGAGTGGGAGAGGTGCAGTCCATGAGCTGCAAGTTAACACCTGTACACCTCTTAATGAAAGAAGAGCATTCACAGAAACAGGAAAAGAGTGCTGCCAAGGCCAGGCAAGACTTCTGTGATATGATGTGTTGTAAGGTCTCTCAGGTAAACGTGAGTGAGCACCTTGAAACATGGAAGCAGTTGTTAAAAGCTAGGAAGGAAGGTAGTTTATTTCAGAAGTTGAAATGGCCAAGAGATGATGAATTGAAAGCTCTCATGCTTCAAGCATATTTGGAAAGGGTGGCAGTTGGAGATTATGAGGTTACCGTGTCATGGATTTTGGCAAATTATTCCATCCCTCTCGATTTCATTCCTGAAGTAGCTGACATGCCATCAGCTACAGACGCCCTGCAATCATCATTTGGTGATGAGTTGAAATTATTTCATTCCAGGAATCTGGCGGAGTTATTGGACATGGCCCGGGTTCTACAAGAAACAAATTCTGCTATTAAGGGAGGAGCAAGGAGCAAGCAACAGACTTGGGCAGAGGGGCTGAAATGGAAAACGGATACTGAGCCGCAGGCCCACATATGATTGATGGATGAGAAGACTGCTGAATTCTCGGGTTGGTGGAGAGTAAGGAAAGCTGCTTTGTTTGCTTTGGCTTCAGTGTTAGATCAGCTACTTGAAACAGCGGGTTTTGGAGAGTATGGTGCTACTGCAGCAAATATCTGGGAGAAAGTTCTTGTAGAAGACATTGCAACAGGGGTTGATGAATATCCTGTTCTTTATGCCTATAGGTTATCAACCATTGCTAAGCTTTCTCTTGTGATGAGACAGGGAATTAATGAGCAGTTGGGGTATGGGTCTGTGAGGGCAATTGGCATGGATGTGTCTCCTGTAAAAGCAGATGCTGGTCGAGCACTTTCACAGTTTTTAAGTAATGCAAAATCTGGAGTCATTTGGTCACATATCAAGGACTTAATTTCATCACTCACCATGTTATGCGAATCTACAACCAATGAGACTATGCATCTGGTGTTTAAGACACTACAGGCTGCTGTCAGGGCAGAATACCAGTTGGGTGGAATCAAGATGGATCTGGATTCTACTATTCACGCTGAGGTAATTGAGGTCTCAAAGGTAGAGCACATCATGGATGATTCGACAATGTCTTTACCTTTGCTCTTTCCTACGCGGGAGGAATTGATGATAAAGGTTCAAGTAATGAAGCTCATGGTCCAGCAATCCGTGAAGTATTGGGAAGGAAGAGGCGCTAGAATGAAGCGGATTTCCAGGGCGTCTTCCTACCTCCCACCTTGAGGACAAGGTGGTTGTCAAAGGGGGGAGTGATGATAGAGACTTGGACTTTAGGGCTTAATATTTTAATAAAATGTAATAGTGGGCTGGGGTCAAATAATTAGATAGATTGAGGTAAGCCTCATGTGGAAAATAAATAAATAGAGGGAATAGAAGAGGGAGAGGGTAGGCAGAACTTGGATTGGACTGGGACTTGGGAGAGACGAGGCACTCTCGAATTTGCTCTCATCTGTATCGTTACTTTCTATTTCTTCAATTTCAGTTTCGTAATCAACATTTCATCGCCAGATTTTTGCTTGTACCTATCAAAAAGCTTGCTCTGAATTCATTATGAATATGAACTGTCTACTTGGTGAAGGTTATGGTAATATATATTGCTCCAGATAGGAGTAGAACAAAGACAAAGTGCACAAATAGGAGTATCTATGTTTTATTTCCAAAATAGGATTTATTTGGTTCTATTAAAAGCATAAACCTTCCCCAATTAGGAGCGAATGAGTCATACATTAAGAAGAAAGCAATGATATTTTGTTTATATGACACATGACATATACTCTCAAAACTTCCTCAGACATATATTGATGATTTGCTATATAGTTTTTATAAAATCGTTTGATTCCACATGCTTGATGATTATTGTAAGTAAAGAAGTGAAGAGCATATACTTGGTGGTTTTAGCATCATAATGATATAATGAATATGGTTGTTTTACAGGTGGTCGAGGTTTTAACAGAGTCTTTGACGCTAAAAGAAACTCAACCACCTTCTAAGATTGCACGATTAATGTTGGTTTCCGACATTCTTCATAATAGTAGCGCTCCTGTGAAAAATGCATCTGCTTACCGCACCAAATTTGAATCCACTTTACCAGATGTAATTGAAAGCTTCAACGACTTATATCGCAGCATCACAGGTCGAATGACAGCTGAGGCCCTTAAGGTAAACTATATAGCACAATTGTTCCCCAGTTGCCCCCCTCCCCCTCCAAAAATATGAAATCGTTAACTGCACTTGAAATTTTACAGGAGAGGGTTCTGAAAGTTCTTCAAGTTTGGGCTGACTGGTTTTTGTTTTCGGATGCTTACATCAATGGCTTACGAGCAACTTTTCTCCGGTCAGGAAATTCTGGTGTTATCCCCTTTCATTCTCTATGCGGTGATGCCCCTGAGATAGAACAGAAAGGAAACTCCATGGATATGGTTGATGGTGTAAAAGTTAACCAAGATGCTGCATTGGCTATTGGGAAAGGAGCTGCCATGAAGGAGCTTTTGAATCTACCTCTTCCAGAGCTAGAAAGGCGGTGCAGGCATAATGGTTTGTCTCTTGTAGGTGGTAGGGAAATGATGGTTGCTCGATTGCTTTATCTTGAAGATGCAGAAAAGCAGAGGGGCTATGAATTAGATGGCGAATTGAAACATGGTAGCCACGCAAATTCTGGAAAATATTCAACTAGCCAAAAAGAAGGAAACAGTCGATTTGATCAATATCATTATGTTGATGAAAATGCACAACAGAAAAGCACACATTCTCTGCATTCACCCCCTGACTCTCTGCATTCACCCCCTAGAAGTCAAACTGTACAGCCTGTATCAATTACTTTAACAGATGAGACAAGAAACGACCCTATCTTGCCATCCTCAAAATGGGCTAGAGATGATGATGAAAGTGACGGTGAAGAAAAAAAGAGCAACAAAGATCTCGGCTTAACATATTCATCCTCTGGGAGTGAGAATGCCGGTGACGGTTCCAGTAAGATTGATGAGGCAGAGCTTACAACTGAAGCAAGCAACACCATCCATGTTGAAACTGGAATAAATGAAGAACAGAGGTAGTTTTTTTTCGGGGTTTCTTTTCAAGATCACCTTCATTAAGTTGACGGTGCCTCTGTGGTATGTTATTTTTCTTGATTTATGAAAGGGACAATTCTGTTTCAGACAAAAGCTAAGGCGTCTGGAGGTTGCTTTAATTGAGTATCGTGAATCCCTCGAAGAACGAGGGGTAAAAAGTTTAGATGAAATTGAGAAGAAAGTTGAAATCCATAGACGACGGCTACAATCTGAGTATGGTTTGCTGAACTTCAATGAAGATTCTTCAAGAAAACGTGAGTTGAAAAGATGATATATAGCTGTAGAGATTGGAGTAATTGTGGCTAATGTTTTACTTCTTTTACTTGCAGCTCTCAAATCATCTCTGGAGAGAAAAGAAAGGAGAAACGATTACCAAGAAGCATCAAGGAAGCGGCTGCGAAGTGAGAGCCCACCTCGGAAATCATGCAGTAGAGACAGGGAAAGGGAAAGTGACTTAAACAGAGAGCGAGAAAGGCGTCGTGAGAGGGAAAGAGGCCACGATGTAGAAAGCGATAAGCAGAGGGACAGAAAAGGGGGAAGCAGAGAAAGAGATGATAGCCGTGAAAGAGACAGAAGGGAGAGAGAACGCGAACGAAGGAGGGTAAGATAAAAAAGATCCACATTATTTCTTGACGACTCAGCTATGTAGAGGAACAATCGCGAGATAGTCAACTGGATTTGTAAGGAAGTTACAACTTAAGACAACTTCACCCCATTTGTCATGGATGTGTAAGAAGTGCCTGAATGGTATATCGGACATAATGAGTGTGTCCTATCCGTATAAATGTAAGTCTGCTTAGAGGAATGTAAGTCTGCTTAGAGGCAGAAGCTGGTTGAGCGTTGAGCCATCGTATTTCTGGAGTCCTCCATTATTCAAAAGAAAATCTCATAATTGGTCTCATTCTAGAATTATCATTTGAGACACATGTTACGGCCGAGTTTTCCATGTTTTGCAGATGATTTCGCTTTTGTATTTTTGAGGATCTAATGTAGACGGAGTTTTATGCTACCGGTATATTTGCATTTCTGTCTAGACCCAACATTGTATAACCGTTGTTTTATGCCAGAAAGTGTTTAACGGTTCATCCTTAGGGGCTTATGGCCAAATTATTTTGTTATGCTAATGGAACTTTTATTTAATGAAACACACCACTGCCTTATTCGTTATTATGCTTGGTTCTTGTGTCTAATTGTCTATGGTGGGGCACTGGGGAGTGGGGACTGGGGTGCTCACTGTGTTTTTAGGTTTTTTTCATCTTTTGTTTTGTTCTCGTAATAAAACTATGGGTGGACTCGGGCCAGTTCGGGCCCGGTTTGGGCCTGGGCCCGGCCGGGCCTCGGTTCAGGAATGGGAGGCCCGAAACTGGCCCAGGTAACCCCGGGTCCGGTCCGGGCCGGGCCTCGGTTCTATTTTTTTTTGGCTTTTCCTAATTAACCCCCAACCCTACCCCTTCACCCCCAAACCACCTCAAATGTCCCAAAATACCCAGCCCAACCCAAAAACTTAAAAAAATTTCAAAAAAAAAAAAAAAATTAATTTGGCCCGGACCGGGCCCGAACCGGCCGGGCCGGTTCACCAATCCTAGGGCCCGAGCCCAAACCGCATTCCTACCGGGCCGGGCCGGTTCAAACAGTAACCGGGTCGGGCCGTCCGGCCCGAGTTCACCCCTAAATAAAACCATGACGTGTGAAGTAGGGGGTAGGGGTAGACCTGCTCCATGGTTGGACTGGTGGGGACTGGAAACAAAACCATCCGGTTAACGGGACTGGACTGGGACCATTTATTCTGGTTGGGATTTGGTATTGGCGTTGGACCTGTGTGGCGCACCAGTGCTGGTCCCGCTTATGATATTTGGAAATCGGAACTGACCAGTCTATTCCCGGTAGTCATGGACTCAATGGCTCTTTTGAATTATTTTTTGGAAAATTGGAAAAGAATAATCCAACATTTACCCGGTCTTCAATTAACGGTCCGTCTTATTGAAAATTCATTAAAAATCCCCTAATCGGTCCTGAGCACCTGTTACTGGCTAGAGCAGTCAAAAAGTTTAAAACTATGGGTTTGTCCCTCAAGATATGTTGCTCTCTGATTCTAAGTTTCTAACAATGAGGATCCAAATACGGGAGATGATGAAATCATTTCTGATCCCCCAGATGCTTATACTACACTTAGCCTGATTTTGTTCAATGATGAATTTCTTTTTGAGGACCCCATTGATTTAAACAAATTTTTAAATGTTACAGATTTTCCCACAGCTGAGGAGGACTGCCCTGACGGATTTACACAGGTAAGGAATAGAAAAAAAACTATCAGTGAGCAACGAAAATAAATCAACCACTGTTCAAGAGGACACTCAAATATACTATGAGGTGGGATACACTTCTCATCCCATGGTTACAAGAGTTCGATCCAAGAAACCCCAAGATGAAACTGACTACTTCTTATATTCGGTCGACGGGAGGCTCGAATCGCCACACTAACTCGCTGCGGCCCTAATGAATTACAAATCATCCAGCCTGCAAGCCAAAACTTACCAACCATATCTGAGGAACACCATAAGGTTCCACAACAAATTGAACAGGAGTATCTCAGCTTCACTTGGAATTCCGACTAGGAATTTTAATTGCTAATGCATCTCCTCTTTCAGTTTTTCCATCTAGCATATGTATCTTTAATTTTCTTGTATCTTTCAATTCCTTGTACTTTTAAATGATTATTAATAAAATTGGGATGTGTTCCCGACACTTCCTTCACCTTGTGTGGTTTGCTACAGGGGGGAAACTAGTATATTTGTAACCAATATTATATGTACTCATTTTTCAGTTTTATATAATGTTTTCAACCTATATAAAACAAGTATGCATATACATGTTACTAATGAGACGAATTAGTTTCAAAAAAATCAACTTCATTCATTATCCTTGCAACACACGAGTCAACTGACTAGTTACAAACAAATTCTAGTACTAAGCTAGTGCTATTTATTACTATAATAACTTTAAAAGATCTTCCAAGGGATGCTAATAAATTGAAACTTATATTGTATTGTAATTGTAATTTAATGAACAGTCCACGATAATGATTGATTATATACATTAGAACATGAACATTTCAATTCCAATCATTTTAGGTGTTTTTTTGGTTGGTTGAGCTCCCTAATCAATTATAGTATACATTATATGTTAAGGTCAACATCTTTGAATTAAGAGGAATTTCAAACTCATCCTTGAACCTTTTGAGAATGTGACAGTGATGTCATCATATCACAAAATACTTGACTTAGCTTCTAGGTGATTATAAAAGCAGGAGTAAACAAATTCTACAAATATTAATATTTATTTCATTATGTTCACAAAAATTCATCTCTATTAATAATAGTAATAATAATAATAATAATAGTAATAATAATAATAATACTCCCTCCTTCCCGTAAAATAGTTCCCGGTTTCACTTGGACCAAAGTTTAAGAAAGTGGAAATAAAATGGAAATGTATGGTTGTGGTTGAATAGTAGCCACACAAACTTTCCAAGAAGAGAAATGAGAATACTTTTTTGGGACATCCCAAAAAGGAAAGTGAGAACTATTTTGCGGGATAGAAGGGGTAATAATTATAAAATTAGATAACAATGTGAACTATAATTAAAAATATATTAAAATCTTATTATTACTCCTATCAAATAAATAATGAAATTAATTAAAAGTTAGGAATACTTACCAAATTGATTAAGATACAACTATTCAAAGTAAATTAAAAGAGACATACATTACGTTGGTTCCGTCCAACTTCGAAAGCTGCAAACTAGAAATATATATGTAATTAAAAATAAATAAGAATTCTATCAACGTAATTACCACCACGCATCTCGATTAGTATTTAAAATAATTTTTTTGATGTTTTTAAAAAGAAAATAAAATATATGCACCAGTTATTATTAAGGAACCGCCAAGCGTGTGACGTAATTTTTTAATACAATTTTGAAATTATCACTTTTGTAGTACCACAAATGAGTTTTTGGATCAAATGTTTTTTGAAAGCAAATTTTGATTTTTTATATGAATTAGAAATTTGAAATTTTAAAAGATAAATTTAGAATAATGAGAAAATTGAAATTCTAAACTTACACCTCATCTCATGTTCTCACATGGTCACATCGTCCATATCTATAATACGGAATACTCCCCGTCGATCCCAAAATAATAGTTACTTGCAGATTTTGAGGTTTGACCCAGATAAAAAGAAATTTCTCGTGATAATTTTATAATCAGAACTATAAATTGAAGTTTACAAATTCTTTTCTCAGATTCCGTCAAAATTTCTTCAATTTAGCAGATAAAGCCGATTCAGCCATTTTGGGTTTTACCAAACAGGTTCTAAAATTTTGGACTAAAATTATTAATAATTTTTTTGTGTAATTTTTTTTACCAACACGACTAAAATCTCATCGAAATTAGTAATTTATTTGTCTAGTCGGATATTTATTTATACTATAAAATTTTGGCTTAAAATAAAAGAGAGCCTTACTAGTCCGTATTTTTTTAAACGGAAGTAAGAACTAGGAGCGTTTGACCGTATATGCGAACTTGCCAGGTTGGCAATCCGTCGTCTCCCGCCATCTAGCCTTTGACCGTAACCATGCCTGTTCTTTCTTCTTCCTTTCTCTCAGAAACAAAACCCAGATGAATCCAGGAAAAATTCGACCGTTGACAACATATCTGTAATCGATCTTGCCAGTTGCCAGGTTGTTGCCCGCTCCGGCCTCTATATAAACACATATATACCCGTTGCCATTCGTTCTGTAAAACCCCATTCTCATTTCTTGAAACAAAACCCAGAAAGACAGTCTTGTTCCTGCGGGTAAACCAAATTCAATTACCTGCTTCTGATGTGGAGCTCGCCCTGGATCTATGGAGTCGGGTATGTGTTCTAATTCCATAATCTTCAATACCCTGTTTCTTTCTTGAATAATCTTCATAACCTTCTTTCTCGTTTCTTGATGCGGCGCTGCAAAGTTCAGAATTGCTGGATGGTGATCGATGACTAAAACTGAAACTTCATAACTGCTGGAGATGATCGAGCAAGCCTTAATAATGTCAGGTATCTTCAAAACCCATTTCTTGCTTCTTCTTCGTTTGTCTGAGAAACAAACCCAGAGAACATGATTCTGATGCGGAGCAAATAACAATAACCTTGTTTATTGTTTCTTGAAAACCCAATTCTCATTTTCTGCTTCTTCTTCATTTGACACAGAAGCAAATCCAGAGTGATGTTTCTGCGGGTAAACCCAAGATCGTGATTCTGATGCGGATCGAATAAAAATAATGTATGTGTTCTATATGTGCTCTTAAGTCTATTTTGATCGAATATGTACCCTGTTCTAGCTAATTTCTATCTTTATTGACTAACAATTACCTTCTTTTTTGTATCTTGATGTGGCGCTCCAAAACTAAGAATGGTGATCGATGAGCAAAACTGAAAGATGAGTTGCTTCAGATGATATGAGCAAGCAATAAACGTCAGGTATTATATAAATTTATGTTGCCTTCCCCCTAAAGCAGACTCGACTTAATTGCTCCATAGCTTTATTTCCTGAATAAAATTCTTCTTGAATAGTGGCAGAAGATCTCACGAGTATAAACTATAAAACCCAGAACCAGCCAGTTCCGATTTTACTCTTTTTTTTTTTTTTTTTACTTTTCAAGGCTAAAAATCAGTTGTGGCTGGATCCGCTGGTCCCAAAACAAAACCATACCAGATCATGATGTACATATAACAGTGAATGGAGTATAAAGTAAACATTTTTTCCCTATCCATGATGCGGACACATATCAGTGAACATAAAGTTCAAACATGCTTGGAATATACTACAGTGTGTTATGCTTTTATGAATTTGATCCAATGCCCAATGCAGTACGTAGAGGTTACACCAATATTACACAAACTCTGAAAATTAAATCATTTTGAAAACACCAATATTCATCCTTTTTCTTTTTCCCAAAGAACAGAGGCCAATGTTTCTAAAACTATGCTACAGAGAACAGAGGCCACAATTATATGGCATGGTATATGTATATATGCATTTTTTTGACAAAACTTAATTCAATTGGATCAAACAGTGTAGATATGTGTGTCATACATATGATACGGTAATCTTTCTATGATGTTTTTGT